GAACATAGTTTAAATTTATGGGGAATTGTTATATGATTAATCCTAAAGTATGCTTAATGTGCACTTGAGGAAAATGTGTATTTTGCTTTTGTTGGATGGAATGTTTTGTGTATATCTAGGTGGTTTATAGTGTTGTTGGAGAACTTTATTTCTTTATTAATCTTTTGTCTAGATTTCTTTCTAGCCCTGGCTGGTTTGGCTCAGCAGTTAGAGCCTCGGCCTGTGAACCAATGAGTCGCAGGTTCGATTCTGGTCAAGGACATGTACCTCGATTGCGATTCATCACCGGCCCTGGTTGGGGTCATGTGGGAGGCAGCCATTGGATGTGTCCCTTTCACATCGATGTTTCTCTCTTTCTCTCTTCCTCTCTCTCCCTCCCACTATATCTGAACAAAAATGGAAAATGTCCTTGGGTGAAGATAAAAAAAAAATAGATGTCTTTCTGTTATTTCAGGTAAGGTATTGAGACCTTCAACTGTTATTGCAGAACTGTGTATTTCTTCAGGTCTGTCAATATTTGCTTGATATATTTTTTGGCACAGTTGTTTGATGCCTGTATGTTTATAATTTTTATATCTTCTTGTGAGTTGAGCCTTTTTGCTTAGAATTTATTTTGTCTGAGATTAGCATAGCCACCCCAGCTCTCTTGGCTACTATGTACATAGATTTATATAAAGTTTAGATAACAAAATTCAGATTATGATGTTGAGGCAAGTGATGATAGTTCAAAAATAAATTTTTATCCTGTTATTGCTTATTTATTTATAGTTAATTTTTTTTAAATGTCAAGCAATGTGTTGCTTATGTATGTATATATATTCTTTCAAATGTAACTACGGTTTACTATAAAATTATTCCTTTGAGATTATGGAATTTCTTTCTACCTGAAAGTTGATGCTACAAACTTTAATTTATGCAGCATGTCCCAGTTGCATTAATAATCTACATGGCCAAAACTATAGTCCTCAAATAATAGTCACATTAACTGGTACCGTATTTTCATATATGTGAATATGTATATGTGTTTGTGTATTCCCTTTAATGTATACTTAATGTATCAAGTCAGTTTTTTACCCATAATACCCAGTAGACTTATTTTTTTTTTTACTCCTAAACCAGAAAAATAGATCCCATATACTTTTTTTATTGAAAATTTAGTCAATTTTTATTTGTAAAATTCTTAGTATATATGGGCTACATATATGCCACACATTTCCCTCTAGATATACCACAACAAAGATGAGCATGTTATGCTGATACCATTCTATAGAACTAAACTGAGAAAGCTAATTCAGTGTCAATTTACTATAATTTTCTAATATCAGTTTGTCTTCAATTCTTTTAGAGAAAAGCTTAGGCTTAGGCTGTTAATGCAAGATGATTTATAAATATATGAATTTGATTTTTTTTTGCCTTTTGGGAAAAGTATTTTAAAGCCTACAGTGCTTTACTGATGAGAATATTTGCATTTTAAAAGCACATGCCACAATATTTTGCAAAAAATGATTTGTTATGGAAAGAACTCAAGTGTACCTGTTGGCAATTATAAGGATCTTAACTTTGCAAAATGATCTGTGAATGTTCTTACCTGCCCTTCCCTTCTTCCAATAGTTATTGCTCATTGTTTTGGTTCTCCATGTTGCTTCCAGTTATCTAATGGTCCTTTAGGATTAGTACCTAATCCTAACACACAAAAATATTCAAGGAGTCCTGGCCAGTTTAGCTCAGTGGTTAGAGCATCGGCCTGCAGTCCAGAGAGACCCAGGTTTGGTTCCCACTAAGGGCACGTACCTCGGTTGCAGTTTGTCCTCGGCCCTGGTTGGTCGTGCGGGTGGCAGCCACTCGATGTGTCCCTTTCACGTCGATGTTTCTCTCTCTCTCTCCCTCCCTCCCACTCTATCTGAACAAAATATCAAAAAATGTCCTCGGGTGAGGATAAAAAAATATATATAATCAAGGAATACCTATGGATTATGATGAGGAAAAGAGAAATGTTATCAAAAAGACATGAGCTATTATTAAGTCAATTTTGTGCTCAGCACCATAGGATTCACAGTAAGAACAAGGATATAGGAAATCAAATAAAAATATAGAAATTGTTATTCAATAAGCATTTAGCATGTATGAGCTATATGAAATGTAAAATCATGTGCCTCATACAAGTTAAGGTTTGCTTTCAGAGAAAGAAAATAGATTAGATGATGCCATTAAATAATGGAGTGGTTAAGACTCTAGATGCTAGAGGAAGACTGACCATATTTTAAAACCTGGTTCTACTGCTCTGATAATATAACCCTAAACAAGCTACTTAATCTCTCTAAACCTTGGCACTTGTCCATAGAACAGGGACCATAACAGTTTGTATCTTATTCAGTTGCAAGACAGTATGTACAACAATAGTACATTTTTGGAAAAGTTTAATTGTCTTTTCTTTTATCTAAAAGCTATTGAAAAAATAAATGATCTATTTATTAATATGATTGAATGAAATGTTTGCTTTCAAAATGTAATGACCTAGTCAGAAAAAGCTAAATAAGGTGTGTGAACATTCATGTTTTTACATGTACTTAGTAGTATAAAGAAGAATGTGTGGTTCTATAATATATCTATTTCTAAAAGTATGTAATTGAATTTCATATTACAACGTTATTTCCAGAAAAGAGAGAACATGCGAAAGAATAATCATAATTCTAAAATTCCAGTTATAATATTTAGTTTTTTTTTCAAATACTATTTTTCTCATCAGGTTTTGATTGCAAAATAAGGGATCACTTACTCAAAGCCATTGTTGCCTTATATATGCCCTCATGCTGAGACACTGAATCTTTATCACTTTTTTTTCCCTTAAAGAGAGTTTATACCAAGTAGAAAATTTAAATGGTTTACTGATGATTTTCTTTATTTACCTATTCTATGTACCATTTCAGAAAGGCCATAAGATGTTTATTATTGAGTTGGTTCAATTTTATTTTACTTTTTTACTATATTTTTTTCTTTATTGATTTTAGAGAGAGAGAGAAAGGGAGAGGGAGAAAGAGATAGAAATACCAATGAGAGAGAACATCGATTGGCCGCCTCCTGCATGCCCCCCTAATGGGGATCAGGCCCACAACCCAGACATGGGCCCTGACCGGGAATTGAACCTGCGACTTCTTGGTGCATGGGTCGACACTCAACCACTGAACCACACCGGCTGGGTGAGTTAGTCCAATTTTAATACCAGTCAATTCAGTGAAGGAAAAAGCTGAATCAAATCATGTTATATTGATAAAACAACAAATTTGATGTTTTATAACAATTACACTTCATGCATTTCTGTAGGAGGTAATATATTTAAAAACAGGTTTTGACTTACGTTTGTGCAGATTTTATGAGGAACTGAATTCTGACTACTTCAAAATTGTTTGGTCCAGCACAGTACTTATTGAACATTGAATAAATACCAAATACTGTTCTGGGTGTGGTCTTCAAAAACAGATTAGGGACCTCCAAGGATCTATTTCCATTCAATAATGTCACTTTTATTTCACAAAATATCTTCGAAATTTACTACAGGTAATATGCTTCTCAAACTTTTCCTCACAACAATACTTTGTATAGTGCCCTATACCTTTCCTCTGTAGCAGGCTTCACATTGATAAATAATAATTTGTTTGTAATTCTTACACTTCTGTTAAAATACAATTTCCAAGAGGCAAGTCCATCTTATTCATTACTATATGCCCACACCTTAGTAATAGCTGGCAGTTAGCAAGTATTTAATAAATTTTTGCTGCATGAAGAACTTCTGATATCACCTTTGATGGCCACTAGTCAATGCATACCTCTTAAGATATGGGGGCATAGTCCAAAGCTGTCTCTAACAATCAGAAAATATCTTTGAAGCCATCTGTTTTATTTATTTATGTATTCATTTATGTATTTATTTTTGTTGTTGTTAATCCCCACCCGAGGATATTTTTTCTTTGAGTTTTTTAGATAGAGTGGAAGGAAAGCAGGGAGAGAGAGAGAGAGAAATATCAATGTGAGAGACACACATTGATGGGTTGCCTCCCACACGACCCTGACCGGGGCCGGAGATCAAACCTGCAACCCAGGTACTGCTCTTGACTGGGAATTGAACCCATGACCCCTCAGTCTGCAGGCCAACACTCTAACCGCTGAGCAAAACCGGCGAAGGCTACTTTATTTTTTAAAAAATTTATTTGAGCCCAGCTGGTGTGGCTCAGTGGACTGGGTGTCTTCCCATGGACTAAAAAATCCTGCTTCGATTCCCAGTCAGGACACATACCTAGGTTGTGGGCTCAATCCCCAGTAGGGAGCATGCAGGAGGCAGCCAATAGATGTTTCTCTCTCATATCAATATTTCTCTCTCTCTCTCCCTTCCTCTCTCTCAAAAACCCAATAACAAAAACATATTAAAAATGCATTTGACTTTTTAATTTTCATCCATTGCATATGGTTTTTTATATGTGCTATTCTAAAAAAAAATCGATACATTGGGGATATGCATCATAGTTTTAAAGCTACAGCTGTTGTATGTGTGGGTAGTGTATGGGTTTTGGAATTACTTTGTTCAAATTCTTGCCTTGACTGTTAGCAAATATCTTAAACTTGAGTCAGCATCTGAAAAATGGGTTTAAGAATACTTACCTTGAGGGTTTTTGTTATTGTTTCTAAGAGAGTAAAATGAAAATGTACTTAAAATAGTTGGTATGCATACTATATATTCAAATATTGGCTTCCTTTTCTCCTCTTACTAGAAAACTTCTAGTTCTCCTTCCAAAAATCTCAACTTATATATGATTCTTTCCTTTAAGTATTAGATGGTCATTAACTGTCAACTAAGAACTGAAAGTTCTCAATCTTTGAGCCAGAATTACGGCTGTTCATCTGGGCACAGAATTCTTTTACTGAACGTAGTTAACACCTCACTAGATGAAAATTTTCTACCCAGTATTTTTAACCAGTGTCAACAATGTCCACAGAGAAAAATTAAGTTGAAGTAATTTTTATTACTACTTATTTAACACAAGTTTACTTGTCTTAGAAAAGTAAGAATTTGTAGAATCTGTGCTTTATTGCACTGGATAGAAACTAGAAATGCAGTTATACTTGACATAGTGTGGTTTCTGGGAAATCAGCAATGGTGCTCTGCAGAATACATGAAGATTCTCAGTGCCTCTTGCAAGGAATCACAAAAGAGATCTTTGGTCCAAAGAAGGCATCCCTGAAAGAAAATATGACTTCAGTTAAATCTAGCTATAAACTAAGGTGTATATTAGTCTTTTCTGGGTTAAAAATGAACAGTGATTTGGAGGATTTCATCTATGGTTATTCTTTTTAGGTGAATAAAGTACAAAGAGAGTGAGTGGGAGGACTTGCCGCAGGAGCAACAAAGACCAATAAGGTAATCATTTCTTCTACTTTCCCTCCATTTACCATTGATAGCTATCATTTCTTTATAAAGAAAAGGAAAGATTAGGTGATTTCAAAAGCTTATGATCATACCAAAAAAATTAATTCCTCTGATATGAGTAGGATGGACCATAAAGTTTAAATTTATAGGTAAAACAGAGAAGATTAAAAATTTCTTAGAAAGTCAATAAATACATTTCTAGCTTTTATAGGGAAAGGATAAATGTTAAGTTACTCTATTCTTGTTGGAAAGATCATATGAGGTAATGTATAAAAATGAGTGGAATAATATAAAATTGTATATAGGTGTAAGATAGTATGATAATGATTATTTAGTATGTGAGGTACAACATGATAACTATTATTAGCTCTGCTGTATAGTATATTTGAAATTTGTTAAGAGAGTAAATCTAAAAGATTCCATTATTAGGAAAAATAAATTGGGGTTGGTAACTATATGAGGTAATATCCATTAACTATAACTAAACTTATTATTAACTATAATAAATTTATTATAAACTAAACTTATCATAAACAAAAATAAACTAAATTTATTACTATAATAATAAATTTATTGTTAACTATAACTAAACTTGTTATGGTACTCATTTTTCAGTATATATCTGTCAAGTCATTATGCCATATACCTTAAACTTAAACAGTGCTGTATGTCTTTTTTTTTTTTTAAGATTTTTTAAAATCCTCACTTGAGGACTTTTTTTCCCATTTTTTGTTCAGATAGTGTGGGAGGGAGAGAGAGGAAGAGAGAGAGAGAAACATCGATGTGAAAGGGACACATCAAGTGGCTGCCACCCACATGACCCAATCAGGGCCAGGGACAAACTGCAACCAAAGTATGTGCCCTTAGCGGGAACTGAACCTGGGTCTCTCTAGACCGCAGGCCGACTCTCTAACTGCTGAGCCAAACCAGCCAGAGCCTGTATGTCAATTATATCTTTTTTTTTTTTTTTGGTGGTATATGCCCTAGCAAGAACCAAACCCAGGACTCTCTGGTCCACAGGCCGACGCTCAACCGCTGAGCCAAACTGGCCAGGGCTGTCAATTATATCTTAATAAAAATGAAAAAAATAGGATGACAAATTAAACTTTGTGATTACAGGGAAAAGTAAATTACCTTACTTAGCAAGTTAAATTTGTTGTTACTAGGAAAAGGGTAACCTAGTATCAGATAGAAATTACTTTTGTATATCTATACTTCTATTCTTATCCATTAACAGAGACAATCAGAAAATTATATCATGAAATAAATACAAGTACATTTCTGTAAACTGGATTCAAGTCTTATAATTATAAAAAAGCAAACATGGTATTTTAATATTAGATGATATTTTATTTATGTGACCTGGGAAAAATTAAGTCATTTTGTGGAATGAGTTAACTCAAGTTCTTGATATCATCATTTACTACAGTAATTCTGAAACTTTATCATACATCAGAAACACCTAGAAAACTTGTTAAGCCATTATTACTATGCCTCACTTCTGAGTTAGTACATCTGATCTGGGCCTGAGGAGGGATATGCATTTTTAACAAGAACGCAGGTGATATTGAAGCTGCTGTTCTTAAAGCCACACATTAAGAACCAACTGGCTTGAAAGAAAAAATATCTGGTGCAAATCAGAAGACCTGAGTTTTAATGTCAGTGCTGATATTAACTAGTCATGTGAGATGGTGCTGGTCATTTTACCTCTGTACGTTTTGCTTGATAAGATGGTTATATCTGCCCTTTCTACTTTCCAGGTTTCTTAGAAAAATAGAAATATGATGACATTTTAAAAGTAATTTGAAAAAGCTAATTTACGTAGGAAATAGCAAGATCATAGTATTTGATCTTGAGTTAGAAATATTTATTTACTTATCTATATTATATTATACTTAAAATACATCTACTTTCCAAGTCAGTGGAAAATTTTTATTTAGTTTATTTCTGGTTAACTCATATATAGAGCTAGAAATTCTTTCTTTGACCCTTTCCAAACTTTTCTGTCCAGTTAATTACTTGATCCTGTTTACTGAGATCTTTTTTCTAAAGCGTTTTATTCATTTTCAAGTTAGTTTATAATATCAACCTTGAAATTGACCGCTGCTGCTGATAGATTTTTTTGTGGTAAAAATCTGATAGGGAATTTCAATTTTAATAGATCAGAGTGTTATTCATTTTCTGAATTTCATTAAGTTTTTAAAAATATCTGCCAAATTCTGTTTCTTAAATGGAAACATTCAATTCCATACATAATGGTGGTAATTCTAGAAAATAGCTGAGATTTCAACAGGATTTAATAAAAAAGACCATTATTTTCAGCAAACTCATTATAAAGGTATCAAAAAAGAATCTTTATACATATACTTCATAGCATTATATTTTGTGATTTGCATTTCCTTACCTTGGGCAGCATAGCAATTCGCTGAAGTTGCAGTAACAGACCATCTCACAATCCTGTTCTTCTGAGACATCCTGGGCTTTTACTTCGATCTTTGTCAGGTCATCTCCTTCTGGAAGGCTGTGGCACTTGTTCTCTTTAATTACCTTTCTGTAGCAAGAGAGGCGATTTGCAGGCATGGTTTGGACTTCCAGCAACAAAGTTAGCCCAACGGTGAGAGCAAGTACTGTGAATTTCATTTTGTGTCTGGCCCTGAGATAGAAGAAAAAACAAAATGTGTCAACGTTTGTTTTGTTTTGTTTTACTTTTTTTAAAAATTAATTTATTTTTGTTACAGATGTTTCACCTTTTTCCTCCACCAAGCATTGTTGTCTATGTCCATGGTTACGCATACATGTATATGAGTTTTTTGGTTTATCTCATCCCTCCCTCCCTCCTGACCCCCTCCTTTGAGCTTTGTCACTCTGAACCATACTCCTTTCTATGTCTCTGGGTCTGTTTAGTCATCAGCTTATTTTGTTCATTGTATTCCACAAATAAGTGAGATTATGTAGTATTTGTCTTTCTCTAATTGGCGTATTTCACTTAGCATAATACTCTCCAGGTCCCTCCATATCATCTCAAAGAATACCAGATCTTTCTTTCTTACACCTGCATACTTTTCCATTGTGTATATGTACCAAAGCTATTTTTATCCACTCATCTATTGATGGACACTTGGGCTGTTTCCAGATTTTAGCAATTGTAAACAGTGCTGCTATAAACATAGGGGTACATATATTCTTTCTGATGGGTGTTTCAGGTTTCTTAGGATATATTCCTAGAAGTAGGAACACTGGGTCAAATAACAGTTCAATTTTTCATTTTTTGAAGAAAAACCATAGTGCTTTTCATAGTGGCTGCACCAGTCTGCATTCCCACCAGTGGTGTACTAGAGTCCCCTTTTCTCCACACCCTCTCCAGCACTTGTTTGATGATTTGTTAGCAGCCATTGTGGCAGGTGTGAGGTGATACCTCATAGTCATTTTAATTTGCATCTCTCTGACGATTAGTGACATTGAGCATTTTTTCATGTCTCTTGGCCATTTGTATGTCCTATTTAGAGAGGTACCTATTTAGGTCCTCTGCCCATTTTTTTTATTTTTTATTTTATTGGGTTCTTTGTTTTCCTTTTGTTAGGTTACCACTCTATATATTTTGGAAATTAACCCCTTATCTGATGTATTGTTGGCAATTATGCTCTCCCATATAGGGGGTTTTCTTTCCATTTTGATGGTTATTTCTTTTGCTGTGAAGAAGCTTTTTGGTTTGATGTTAGTCCCATGTATTAATGTTTTCCTTTGTTTCTCTTGCCTTAGGAGTTTTATCAGTGAAAATTCCGCTATGTGTGATGTCTGAAATTTTGTTGCCTACATTTTCTTCTAGGATTTTTAAGGATTCACGAGTCACATTTAAGTCTCTTATCCATTTTGAGTTTATTCTCGTACATGGTGTAAGTTTATGGTCTAGTTTCATTGTTTTTGCATGTAGCTGTCCAATTTTCTCAACACCATTTATTAAAGAGGCTGTCTTTACTCCACTGTATGCTCTTGCCACCTCTGACAAATATTAATTGAGCATTATGTCTTGGGTCTATTTCTGGGAACTCTGTTCTGTTCCATTGATCTATATGCCTATTCTTGTGCCAGTACCAGGCTGTTTTGATTACAGTGGCTTTGTAATATAACCTGTTATTCGGTATTGTGATCCCTCCTACTTTGTTGTTCTTTTTCAAGATTGCTATGGCTATTCAGGGTCTTTTTTGGTTCCATATGAACTTTTGAAGTATTTGTCCTAGTTCTGTGAAATATGTCGTTGGTATTTTGATAGGGATTGCACTGAATCTATAGATTGCTTTGGGTAGTATGGACATTTTAATGATGTTAATTCTTCTAATCCATGAACATGGTATATGCTTCCACTTTTTTATGTCTTTCTCTATTTCTTTTTTTCAATGTCCTGTAGTTTTCTGTAAATAGATCCTTCACTTCTTTGGGTAAGTTTATTTCTAGGTATCTTAATTTTTTTGCCACAATGGTAAATGTGATTTTTTTTTGGTTTCTCTTTCTGTGAGTTCATTTTTGGTGTATAAGAATGCCACTGATTTCTCGATGTTAATTTTGTATCCTGCTACTTTGCCAAATTTGTATATTAAGTCTAGTATATTTTTTTTGGAATCTTTAGGATTTTTTAATGTATAATATCATGTCATCTGCAAATAATGACCATTTTCACTTCCTCCTTTTTAATTTGAATCCTTTTAATTTTCCTTCATGTCTAATTGCTGTGGCTAAATCTTCCAGGACTATGTTAAAGAAGAGCGGCAAAAGTGGGCATCCCTGTCTTATTTCTATTCTTAAGGGAAATTCTTTTAGTTTTTGCTTATTGAGTATGATGTTGGCTGTAGGTTTTTAATATATGGACTTTATTATATCGAGATATGATCCCTCTATTCCCACATTGCTGAGCGTTTTTATCAGAAACGGTTGCTGGATTTTGTCAAATGCTCTTTCAGCGTCCACTGATACGATCATATGTATTTATCTTTCATTTTGTTTATGTGGTGTATCACATTTATTGATTTGTGAATATTGTACCAGCCTTAGCATCCCTGGGATGAATCCACTTGGTCATGGTGAATAATTTTTTTAATGTATTGCTGGATCCAATTTGCTAATATTTTGTTAAGGATTTTGGCATCTATGTTCATCAGGGATGTTGGCCTGTAGTTTTCTTTCTTTATAGTGTCTTTATCTGATTTTGAAATTAGAATTATGCTGGCCTTATAAAATGAGTTTGGAAGTCTTCCTTCTTCATGAATTTTTTGGAATCGTTTGAGGAGAATGGGTGTTATTTCTTCTTTGAATGTTTGGTAAACCTTCCCCATGAGATCATGCAGGCCTGGGCTTTTGAAAGCTGGGAAAGTCTTGATTACTTCTTCAATTTCCTTTGTTGTTATTGGTTTCTTCAAGTTTTCTTTTTTTGTTTAATTTTTTTTCTTTATTGATTTTATTTATTTATTTATTTATTTTTAATCTTTATTGTTGAATGTATTACAGATGTTCCTCATTTTCCCCCCATTGACCCCCTCCTCCCCACTCCCACCCTCCTCCTGCCTTTTCCCACACTGTTGTCTGTGTCCATTGGTTATGCATATAAGTTCTTTGGTCTATTTCATCACGGCCCCCAACCCCCCTTCTCTTTGAGGTTTGTCAGTCTAGCAACCAATTTGTTCTTCTTAATCCTTTCACCTTTTTCACCCATGCCCCCAACACCCCTCCCATCTGGCTGCCAACAAAATGTTCTCTGTATCTACGAGAATGTTTCTGTTCTGCCTGTTCATTTTGTTTGTAGATTCCATTGTCAATAGATATGTATTCATTGCCATTTTGTTTGTTCATACATTTTATCTTTTTTTCAAACAGACCCTTCAACATTTCATATAATAATGGTTTGGTGATGATGAACTCCTTTAAATTTTTCTTGTCTGGAAAAGTCTTTATATGGCCATTGATTCTAAATGACAGCTTTGAAGGAGAGAGTAATCTTGGTTGTAGTTTCTTGCTTTTCATCACTCTGACTATTTCTTGCCACTCGCTTCTGGCCTGCAAAGTTTCTTTTGAGAAATCAGCTGACAGTCTTATGGACACTCCCTTTTAGGTAATTAACTGCTTTTCTCTTGCTGCTTTTAAGATTCTCTCTTGGTCTTGAACCTTTTGCATTTTGATAATGATGTGTCTTGGTGTAGGCCTCTTGGGGTTCATCTTATTTGGGAGTGTCTTTGCTTACTGGACTTGTATGTTTGTTTCCTTCACCAAGTTAGGGAATTTTTCTGCCATTATTGTTTCAAATATGTTTTCAATTTCTTGTTGTCTATCTTCTCCTTCTGGCATCCCCAATATGCAAATGTTGGCACGCTTGAAGTTGTCCCAGAGGCTCCTTACACTATCCTTATTTTTTTGGATTCTTCTTTCTTTTTGCTGTTCTGATTGGGTATTTTTTGCTTTCTTATATTCCAAATCGATGGTTTGCTTCTTGGCTTTACCTACTCTACTATTGAGTCTGTGTAAATTATTCTTTATCTCAGTTAGTGTCTCCTTCATTTCTGACTGTGCATCCTTCATTTCTGACTGGTCCTTTTTTATGCTCTTGATGCCCTCACTAAGTTTGCTGAGGTTCTCACTGAGTTCATTGAGCATCCTTATAAGCAATATTTTGAACTCAACATGTTAGGTTGCTCATCTCCATTTCGCTTAGTTCTTTTCCTGGAGATTTTTTCTGTTCTTTCATTTGGGACCTGTTTCTTTGTCTCCTCATTTTGGCTGCCTCCCTGTGTTTGTTTCTATTAATTACTTAATGAGAGGTATGGGGCTAGCTGGGACCAGGTGCTGCTCGTGTGAAAGGATTTAGGAAAACCTGAAGCAGGATCCAAGACAGGCCAATCCTATGGTAAAGCAACTGGCAACAGCTTGGGTGGGCCTGCAAGTTGGGTGGGGCAGGACCTCAGGGAATCACCAGGGTGGGGCAACCAGTATGAGCCAGATTGCTGGAGTCCCAGATATGGTGGCTGTCTGCCACCCCAGAGAAGGGCTCACCAAAGGAACAAAGGCCTTTGACAGCATGTTTGTCCCTGTGAAAGCCCCCTCTCTAGCCCTCGCTCCAATGCCAAACAGCTCAGTTCTTCCCTGTATGTCTCTGGTGTTCCTCAAGCTGCCTCTCCAAGCTTAGAGGGAGAGAGTCTGAGTAAGTTCATGCGCAGGCCCTTTAAGAGGAGCTGCCTGGGGCTCCAGCCACTTCAGCCTCCCTGAGCCTCAGTTCCCGCTGCTTTTTCCAGCCAGAAGTTATGGGGATTTCTCTTCCTGGCACTGGAACCCTGAGTGGGGCACCTGGTGTGGGACGGGGACCCCTCAGTCCTCAGAGAGGACCTTCCCAGCCGAGATACCCTCCTGATTTTTATCCACCACACGTGGGTGTGGGACCAGCCCATTCACCACTGCCCCTCCTACCAGTCTCAATATGGCTGCTTTTTTAATTCCGTAGTTGTAAGACTTTCATTCAGCTCGATTTCAGGCGGTTTTGAATGATGATTGTTCTGTAGTTTAGTTGTAACTTTGATGTAGTTGTGGGAGGACGTGATACTGCGTTTACCTACGTTGCCACCTTGACAGGAAGTCTGTTCAAGTTTTCTATCTCTTTCTGGTTCAGTTTTGGGAGACTAGGTGTTTCTAGTTATTTGTCCATTTTGTCTAGATTGTTCAATTTGTTGGTGTATAATTGCTCATAGTATTTGTTAACAATACTTAATATTTCTGTGGTGTCAGTTGTTACCTTTCCTCTTTCATTTCTGATTTTGTTTACTTGAATCTTCTCTCTCTGTTTCTTGGTGAGTCTAGCTAAGGATCCATCAATCTTGTTTATCTTTTCAAAGAACCAGCTTTTTGTTTCATTGATCTTTTGAATTGTTCTTTTAGTCTCTGTCATTTATTTCTGCTCTGATCTTTACTATTTCTTTACTTCTGCTTGGTCTGGGTTTTTCTTTTTGTTTGCTTTCTAGTTCTTTAAGTGGTGAGGTTAGGTAGTCAATTAGAAATTTTTCTTGTTTCCTGAGGTAGGTTTGTAATGCGATGAACTTTCCTCTTGGGACTACTTTCACTGTATCCCATAGATTTTGTGTTGTGTGTTTATTTTCATCGATTTCCAGGAAGTTTTTAATTTCTTCCTTGATCTCCTTGGTAACCCATTCATTGTTTAATAACTTGCTATTTAGCCTCCATGTGTTTAAACGTTTTTATTATAATTGAGTTCTAGTTTCATGCGATTGTAATCTAAGAAGAGGTTTGATATGATTTCAGTATTCTTGAACTTGTAGAGACTTAGTTTGTGTCCAACATGTGGTCTATCTTTGAGAATGTCCCATGTGCACTTGAGAAGAATGTGCATTCTGCAGTTTTAGGGTGTAATTTTCTGTAGATATCTATTAAATCCATTTGATCTAGTGCATCATTTAGAGCCTCTGTTTTCTTGTTAATTTTTTGTCCAGAGGATCTAACCAGTGATGTCAGCAGAGTGTTGAAGTCCCCTGCTATGATTGTATTGCTGTTGATTTCTCCTTTGAAGTTCTCCAGAAGTTTTTATATTTTGGTGCTCCTATATTGGGTGCATATATGTTTACCAAGGTTATATCTTCCTGTTGGATAGATCCTTTCAATATTATGTAGTGGCCTTCTTTGTCTTTAGTTATGGCCTTCATTATGAAGTCTATTTTATTGGATATGACTTTTGCTATCCCAGCTCTTTTTTCCTTTTTGTTTGCTTGGAAGTTTTTTTTCCATCCCTTCACTTTCAACCTATGTGAGTCTTTTGTTGTGAGGCGGGTCTCTTGTAAACAATGTATATATGGGTCACGTTTTCTTATCCAGTCAGCTACTCTGTGTCTTTTGATCAGAGCATTCCATACATTTACATTTAAGGTGATTATTGATATATACTTATTTATTACCATTTTTGTTTATTGTGGTTATATTTTCTTCCTATTTCTTCTACTAATTACAGCAGTCCTTTTAACATTTCTTGCAGTGCTGGTTTGGTGCTAATATATTCCTTTAGCTCCCCCCCTCCCTTTTTTTTTGGTCTGGGAAGCTCTTTATTTGACATTCTATTTTGAATGATAGCCTTGCTTGATAAAGTAGTCTTGGATTCAGATCCGTATTTTTCATTTCCTTGATTACTTTGTGCACTCCCTTCTGGCCTGTAGTGTTTCTGTTGAGAAGTCAGCTGATAGCCTTCTGAGGGTTCCTTTGTAGGTAACCTGTTGCTTATCTCTTGCTGCCTTTAGGATTCTCTCTTTGTCCTTAATTTTTGGCATTTTTAATTATGTGTCTATGTGTGGGCTTGTTTGGGTTTTTCTTACTTGGGGCTCTCTGTGCTTCTTGTACTTGTATGCCTTTTTCCTTCACCAAGTTATGGAAGTTTTCTGTCACTATTTCTTCAAATATATTTTCTAACCCTTGCTAATTTTCCCCTTCTTCTGGAACTCCTATGATTCAGATGTTGTTATGTTTCATATTGTCACACAGTTCTTTAGGTTGTCTTCCTGTTTTTTAATTGTTTTTTTCTATTTGGTTTTCTGATTGGACTGTTTTTTCTACCCTGTCTTTTAATTCACTGATCCAATCCTTGGCCTTCTCTACTCTACTGGTTATTCCTTCCAATGTATTCTTTATTTCTGCTATGTCATTCTTCATTTTCAATTGGTTGGTTTTCAATGCTTCTATATCTTTACTCATGCTGTTGAGCTTCCTCATGATTATTACTCTGAACTCTCCCTCTGATATCTTGCTCAATTCCCTTTCAGTTTTCATCTTCTGTTGAATTATCTTGTTCTTTTATTTAGGATTTTTTTCTTTGTTTCACCATTTTGACTCTCTCAGTGGGTTTTGGAGCCTGCCAAATTTTCCCTGTGGGTATTGGTGTTCTTCTGGTTGTGGGTCCCTCTAATGGTTTTGGATAAGTGTGGGAGGACCCATGTTAAACACCACTGTCAAGTCTTACTTTCCAGGGTATATTTGCAAGCCCAGGAAAGGTTCAGATATCCTCTAGCTTTTTGCCTAGAGGCTATTAGTGTCGGTTACTTGATGAGCCTTGGGTTGTAGACCTCAACTGAATGAAAAAATCCCTCATGTGTTCAGGGTAAGAGGATTTCTAGCCAGTGGGACAGATGCTTGCTGGCTGTTAATGATCCTTAAGTTTTGTTTCTCTGCCCTGGCTGGGTGGTGTTACATTCCTGAGGGAGGGGCTGTTGCTTTTCCCTGTGGCTCTGAGAAGGGGCTCTTTAAGTAATATGGCTACTGTCCTGTGAGTGAGTGATTCAGCACAAAACTCCTAGTGCAGTCCCAGCTCTCCAACCTCCCAAGTCTCTCCTCACAGTTCCAGTCCAATCTGCCCACCCTCTGCCAGAGCCCAAGATGAGTGGCTATAGCTAATTAGTGCTCTGTGCTGACCCTCTGCACTATGGAGCTGGCTTGGGATTTTAACCTTGAGGGAGCTGCTCACAGCTAAAATAGCTGCTGTCAATGGGCTCCCATCCCACCCTCTCGTGCCTCCGCAGATCCTACCAGGTTCAATTTAGTGTCCTCTTTCTGACTGTGGTTTTATGGGTCCTCTCCAGCTGCTTTTCCTAACAATGTGTCTTTATATAAGTTGTAATTCCAAATTGGCTCTGGGAGATGATCTGTGTGGCTTCAGCTCCCTCTGCCACCCTTTTGGAATCCTTGCTTTGTTTCTAATGGAATTTATCTGAACACAAAGTTCTTAGAATTCTCATAAACTCCTGGGTAGAAAGTGTCGATCTTTTCTACTCTCTTCTTTGTGTTTCTCAAAGCATAGTTTAAAGACCATCTACAATAAACATCACTTAGAATATTTGTTAAAAATTAAATGGCTCCATTTCACAAATAAATATTGAATGAGAAATGCTGGATGAGAGGAAGAGGTGGTGGTAAGACCTAGAATTTGCATTTTAAATACCCAAAATAATTTCTTTTGTATGTTCAGTGCAGAAATATTGCTTTTTTAAGGTAATAAAACTCTGATAAATATCTAGGACAAATAGCATCATCAAGTATAGTGGTTCTTGACCTTGCATATCTTGACAACATTGTCAAAAAACTTGGGCCCCATTCTGATGGAAACAAAAAGCCCATTAATCCTCACATTGATGGTAATATTCTATAGATGTATTTTAGTTCAATGAAGTTTTTAGAATAATCCAAAATTACTTTTGGGACCCATTTTGTTGCAAATTTTTAGTGATATTGAGAACTTTTATTCTTACGTAGATTACTTCATCATAACTTCAGTTGAAAACAGAGGCATGAATTTCCCCTAATGAACATGTAGGTTGTTCTTAAAAACCTACCATGATTGAAGAACTCATTATTGACTAAGTCGACATATTACACTGCTACAGTTCTAATGTTTTCCTTACTGTAAAATATTTTTCTGTAGTTACTATCCATCAGTCATAATTTGAACTCTTAGGGTCATACCAAACAAGTCTAATTTCTCCTTCAGGAAATAACTCTTTAAGTACAGTATTTGCATATAACTATTGAATAGTTATCCTCAGTATAATCATGCTTCTCTGGCATCCATATTAGACATGAAAAGAATGGGAATTCTTTTAGTAATGGAAGACTAGCAAGATAGTGGAGAGACCAGAATCAGAATCCATAGCCATTTGGGTTTTCTCTTGTTGACAGGTGCCAAAGTATCTTTCCTGCTGTGGAGTATTAAAAAGAAGGGAGTGGGGTAGCCAGTGTAGCTCAGTGGATTGAGTGTCATTCCATGGACTGAGAGGTCCCAGTTTGATTCCCAGTTCAGTTTGTGGGCTCAATCTCCAGTGGGGGACAATCTCCAGTGGGGGATGTGCAGGAGGCAGCTGATTGATGTTTCTTTCTCACATCAATGTTTCTATCTCTCTCCTTTCCTCTCTCTCTAAAAAAATCAATAAAAACATATTTTTAAAAAAAGAAAAGAAAGGGGGGAAGACAGATAGGTTTTATGGTACTTTGAAAGAAAACAGTATTGTTGAAAGGAATTTAGTATATATTTTCAATGATTAGCTCTACCAAGGCAGTAGGCTGGGGGAAATTGTAGGGCTCACTTCACTTGTTTCCTATCTCTCAGGAACCAATGTTCTACCTTGCTTAAAATCCAGTGTTTTGGCAAAAGTTGTTTCATATATTTTGTCTGTGTTTTTGTTGTTTTAAGGAAGTGGATAAACCAGATTCTTGTTACTCCATTTGGAGCAGAAGCAAAGCTTTCTATGTAACTTTTATTATTTGGAGTTATTTTTGGAGGAATATGGAGGACAGATACACAAATCTTATAGATTCTAAAAGTGAATTGTGTGGTACTCTGATGATTTTGCTACTTAAGCCAAATTCTCAAAATGGTGTTTCTCCCTTCTTCAACTCCTTTTCCCAGACTGAATTGTGGTTCCTCTGACTCCCATCTCTTGAACTGAGTAAGTAGCTATTAGGTCCCAAAATATAACAAATAACATCCTTATGGTTTGAACGAGGTACCATCCAAGCTGCGTTTCCTATTTCTGGAGTGATGCTTGTATATTTTGTTCAAATGAAATAGGCTACTGAAATATATCTTGAAATCATACTCTTATCTTCAAGCATAAATCTTCATGTACTTCCTCAGATGACTTAGAATCTCTCTCCCCACCCCAAGACCAAACTGGCGAGGGTAGGCAGGAGAAAAGCAGTCAATATTGGGAAAGTGAGGAAGTCAAAGAATAGCACTGATGTAGGATTCACTGATAAAGTGATTAAGTAATTATGTGAGAGAGAGGAAAATAGGAGTAAACTTGTTAAATTTGATTCAACATAAACATTTTTTTTTTAGTGTTTCCTTCATGCCAAGTACTACTCCAAGTACCAGGAATACCAACAGAATTCAGGAAAATATTCAACAACTATACCTATCCTCTTCCAATAACTCCAGTTTCTTTGAGCTAAAGCCAGTCATTGCAATGAACTCCATATGCACTCTGGCTCCCCATTACCTATCTGAAATCAGTTACTTTTCCCCCTTGGTCATTCTGTTTCAGCTGTTCCTACAAAGTTCCAGACAGCCCTGACTAGTATGGCTCAGTTGGTTGGAGCATTGTCCCACACACCAAAAGATTGTGGGTTTGATTCTGATGGGGACACATACCCAGGTTGTGGGTTTGATCCCCAGACAGGGTGTGTATGGAAGGCAACCAATTGATGTTTCTCTCTCTCTCTCCCTCTCCCTTCCTCTCTCTAAAACCAACAAAAATGTGTCCTTGGGTGAGGATTAAAATATACATACAACCAGACACATCCTTGACTTAGGGCCTTTGCACTGGTTATTTCCTCTGCTTGGAAAGCTCTCCCACCAGATGTCTGCATTTCTAACTGCCCCTTCACATATTCTTTTTAAAATATATATATATATGTATCCTCACCTGAGGATATTTCTTTCATTTATCTTCAGATAGAGGGGGTGGTGGTGAGAGAGACACATTGATTGGCTGTCTCCTGCATGCCCCGACCAGGGCCAGAGACCGAATTGCAACCGAGGTACATGACCTTGACCAGAATCGAACCTGTGATTCTTTGGTCCATGGGCCAACATTCCAACCTCTGAGCCAAACCAGCCAGGGCAGTTGTTCTACTTTTCCATGGCATTTATGAACCTCTAAATTATTATAAAACATTCTTATTATGTCTCCTCAAACTTGAATATAAGCTCCAGAAAAGCAGGGTTTTTTCTGATGTGTATTCCAAGCACCCAAAACAGTACTTGGTATGTTAGTAAAAAAACAGATAATATATCCTAGTCTCCAGATACCTACAATAAGAGAAAAAGAAGTTTTTCAGATTGCTAAACTCAGTATCTAGTTGCAGGTATATGTTTATTACTAAAAGAAGTTAGTGAGCTGTCAAATCTTTAAATTTGCATGTCATCAGATACTATTGTTTTAATTTAATTGTACTATATTTAATTTTTTCTAAATAGCCTGACTTTATTTATTTATTTTATTTTTTTTTCTTTATTGGTTTTTAGAGAGGAAGGGAAGAGGGGGAGAGAGAGATAGAAACATGTGAGAGAGAACATCAATTGGCTGCCTCCTGCATGCCCCGCACTGGGGATTGGGCCCACAACCTGGGCATGTGCCCTGACTGGGAATCGAACTGGCGACCTCTTGGTGCATGGGTCGATGCTCAACCACTGAGCCACACCAGCCGGGCTAAATAGCCTTACTTTAAAATGTACTTCCCAATTTCTGTTTTGTTTTCCCTTTTTTGGTTACAATTAGAATTTATTCTGGTCAGATAGCTCATACCTGACTTAAAAATATTTATCTGTATGTGGTGTACATTTATCAGAAGATTCAACAACAACAAATACCTACTACCTTTAACCTCTCTTAACATATTCTTCCCTATTGAAAGGTTGGGTATGTAGGGAGATATTGGGGGACACTTATAGAATCTTTTTAATCTATTTGCCTAATAGGTTTGAAGATTTTTATTTTTATTGTCTGACATTTTAAAAATATGTTTTGCAGCTTTGATCTTTCTAGATTTTTTATTATGTAGTAATGTTCTTATTGTTGGTGATCTACATTAATTTTGCCTAGTTTTTATGGCTGTTGGGTATTATATTTGCATATTACATTTCCTGCATATAGGTGTAGTTTTTTTCTGAGCTCATTTCATGACTGTTAACTGCTGAAGCTTTCTTTCCATTAGATGGTTCTAATTAGAGCCATAAACCTGGTTAGATATTTTTTAAGAAAAATATTTTTTTCTCAAAAAAAGTAATAATACTCAGTGTAAAATATGGAAAATACAGAAAAGCACAGGTAGAATAACAGTCAACTAGAGTGTCAATGTAGAGAGAACTGTTGTTAACATTTTTATGTGCTTCTTTTGGGTATGCATAGATAAGGAGGAGAAATTAGGTGGCCAGGAACAGGACACTGGGAAATACTAACATGTATGGACTGGGTGAAGGATAAATCAGATAGAAATTACAAACCAGTAAAGAAGACTGATAAGGAAGTACAGACTCATATGGTAATAAGAAAAGGGGGAAAGTGAATAGATGGTGGAGGCGTGTTTGGACAAACTCATCTCAAAGATTGATATTTACTGAGGTTTATTCCTCAGAGTATCTCCATTATACTCTGCTACATACAAGCAGATGGATTCAAAATCATATACTTCAGAGAAAGACAAATATCACATGATCTCACTTATTTGTGGAATATAATGAACAAAATAAGTAGATGAACCCAGAGACATAGAAGTAGGGTTCAGACTGACAAACCTCAGAGGAGATGGGCAGGGGGGAGGGAAAAGATAAACCAAAGAACTTATACGCATGTATTCATAACCATGGACATAGACAACTATGCTGGGGGTGGGGGGCATAATTGGGAGGAGGGTGTCAATGGGGGGAAAAGGAGAAACATCTGTAACAAAAATAAATTAATAAAAAAATAAAACAAAGAAAATGAACCATTCTACAAAAAAATAAAATATAAAGTTAAAAAACAAAACAAAATCATATACAAGCACTCTTTGACCATTTTTACAGTCCTATGTCTCTGATATACATGTATCACCATATTTAACATTGTTAAAATATGAGGTTGCCATATAAAATATGGCGTACCTAATTAAATTTGAATTTCAGATAAACAATGAATATTTTTTGTGTATATACCCCCAATACTACATAGTTTCTACCTATTAAGTTAATATTTTTAAATCATTTTTTATTTTATTTATTTATTGTTATTTTGCTTCTTTTTCCTTTTTATTCTTTTTCTTTTCTTTTTTTTAACTTACCTTTATGGTTGAATGTATTACAGATGTTCCTCATTTTTTCCCCATTGACTCCCTTCTCCCCATTTCCACCCCCCTCCTGCCTTTCCCCACACTGTTGTCTGTGTCTATTGGTTATGCATATATACATATAAGTTCTTTGGTTTATTTCTTCCCACCCCCACCCCCCTTCCCTTTGAGGTTTGTCAGTCTAACAACCAATTTGTACTTCTTAATCCCTTCACCTTTTTCACCCATCCCCCCCACCTCCCCCTCTGGCAACCAACAAAATGTTCTCTTTATCTATGATAATGTTTCTGTTCTGTTTGTTCATTTTGTTTGTAGATTGAATTGTCGTGAGATATGTATTCATTGCCATTTTGTTTGTTCAAAAATTTTATCCTTTTCTTCAAGAAGACCCTTCAACATTTTATATAATAATGGTTTGGTGGTGATGCACTCCTTTAGCTTTTCCTTGTCTGGAAAAGTCTTTATATGGCCGTTGATTCTAAATGACAGCTTTGAAGGAGAGAGTAATCTTGGTTGTAGGTTCTTGTGTTTCATCACTCTGAAAATTTCTTGCCGCTCGCTTCTGGCCTGCAAAGTTTCTTTTGAGAAATCAGCTGACAGTCTTATGAACATTGTCTTTTAGGTAATTAACTGCTTTTCTCTTGCTGCTTTTAAGATTCTCTCTTGGTCTTGAACCTTTTGCATTTTGATGATGATGTGTCTTGGTGTGGGCCTTTTGGGGTTCATCTTGTTTGGGACTGTCTGTGCTTCATGGACTTGTATGTCTGTTTCCTTCACCAAGTTAGGGAAGTTTTCTGCCATATTGTTTCTTTCTTTTTTATCCTCTCACGAGAACATTTTTTCCATTTTTTGTTCAGATAGAGTGGGAAGGAGAGCGAGGAAGAGAGAGAGAGAGAGAGAGAGAGAGACCTCTATGTGAAAGGGACACATTGAGTGGTTGCCACCCGCACGACCCAACCAGGGCCGGGGACAAACTGCAACCGAGGTATGGTATGTGCCCTTAGCAGGAACCGAACCTGGGTCTCTCTGGACTGCAGGCCAACACTCTAACCGCTGAGCCAAACCAGCCTGGGCTCTGCCATTATTGTTTCAAATATGTTTTCGATTTCTTGTTCTCTGTCTTCTCCTTCTGGCACCCCCAAGATGCAAATGTTGTCACGCTTGAAGTTGTCCCAGAGGCTCCTTACACTATCTTCATTTTTTTTTGTATTCTTTTTTCTTTTTGCTGTTCTGACTGGGTGTTTTTTGCTTCCTTATATTCCAAACAATGGTTTGCTTCTTGGCTTTACCTACTCTACTATTGAATCTGTGTGAATTATTCTTTATTTCAGTTAGAGTCTCCTTCATTTCTTTTTATGCTCTTAAGGCCCTCACTAAGTTCACTGAGGTCCTCACTAAGTTCACTGAGTATCCTTATAAGCAGTGTTTTGAACTCAGCATCTGTTAGGTTGCTTATCTCCATTTTGCTTGGTTCTTTTCCTGGAGTTTTGTTCTGTTCTTTCATTTGGGATCTGTTTCTTTGTCTCCTCATTTTGGTTGCCTCCCTATGTTTGTTTCTATGTATTACTTAATGAGAAGTATGAGGTTAGCTGAGACCAGATGCTGCTTGTTTGAAAGAATT